CAGCGGCAAATCGAACAAGAAAAGAAAATCTTTGACGCTTTCCCAGGCTCGGCTGGCAGCTGGCAGGAAAATTAGCCAAAGCGCCACCATCAAAATTCAATTCAATTGAATTTGATCAAGCAATTATGCGGTTTTGCAGCGCCTTATGAATCTCAATCTCAATTCACGAATCCCGAATCTCGAATTCGCTGCAGCGCACCCCAAAAACTCGCCACCAGCATCAAGCTAATAAGGCAACTGATATCCGCACCGCACCGCCCCCCCCCCTTGAGAGCATATGTAGCTGCCACTTAATTCTGCACTCGAAAACATTTTAAATCAAATCTTTTGAAAATGTTTTCGCGTTGCCAGCAACAGCAGGAACGGCAACAAAAGGGGCGCGCCCCACCCCCTGCGGGCCCTCATCAGCTGTCAGCAGCGCCGGCAACGTCATCTTTGATGAAGTTGATGTTGATTTGATTGTTGTTGTTGCTGCTGCTGCTGCTGCATTTGCTGCTGTGGCAGGGCTTGTTCTATTGTTATTGTTGTTTTGGCCTGCGTCAGTCAGCGACAGGCAACATATCAAATTATGTTCGATATATGTTAACAAGTCGAGCGAGCTGATCGGCGGATAGCCCACATCGTATCCATCGGATACATAGCCCAATTGTTGAAAGATACAAGGTCAAAGGACAAAGCAGCCAAATTGCTGTTTATCGATTCAAATGATGTATAGATACATTCACGATTTGCAGCTCAAGTTCCTTAAGAATATATCAGATAGTCTACTGCAAACATATAAAGAAATATGTCACATATTTAACATTTATTTATGTTGTTGCTTCCTGCTTTGAAGTCCTTTAGGTTTTTAAGAGTACAACAAGCACATTAAACTGAACATAAAGTTTATTAAAATCATGAATATAAGTTTCAGAAATATGCTTAAAATTTTAAACACACATAAATAATAATTATTAATTATATTTAATTACAATTATGAAATCACAGAAGCTAGAAAATAAGCTGTTTTTCTTAGAGGGCCAGCTTATTTATTAAGTGTTTCACTGAGCTTCCCAGAAAAGCAGCTTTAACTTTCCGTTAATACAGACAACAACTCATAAATATGCAGTTGTTGGCAATCATTTTTCAGACACTGTCCCAAACAGTTGCTCATAAATGTAAATAATCCAAAGACAATTAACAATTTTTGCTGCCCACAATTTTTTTACTCTTACTTTTGATTGCGGCAACAAAAACCAAAAGAAAACAAAAGCGAGAAGAAAAAAAAAAAAACGAACAACAACAAAAAGCGAAAAACCAAAAGCGATTTATGCAAAACACCTCAGCTGGGTTGTTGGTCGGGCGAGGGGAGGGGCAGGCGATTAGGCGATTTGACGCACAAAATATCGCAACATAAAAGAATCCAATAAAAAGTGATTACGTGCGGGCTGCAGACAGGTGGGGTTGCCGAAGGTAGGGGCGGGGCAGGGCTGGGCAAGCGTCTGCGGCTTGCAAATCAAAACAGATGTGCGACAAGGCAAACGGCAGCCAAAGCAAGGGCAAAAGCTTGCTGCAGATACAAAGATACAAGATACAGAGATACAAAGATACAGGAGTACAGAAATGAGATACGTGAGCTGCGAGTCTGTTGTTCCTGTTGTTGTTCTTGTTGTTGCTGTTGTTTGTGCCTGCTGTTGCTGTTGTTGCTGTTCCTGCTCGTGCCACACGGCCAACAGACGGCACGAAAAGTAACTGTGCCACAATTTGCCGCATATCCTGCAGGAAAGGCTGCCAAACGGGAATTGTGCAAGGATTTGCAACCAAAACGAAAAAATACAGAAAACAAAAAACTGGTTGGTCGAAACGTAGCCGCATCGCTCACCTGCCGCATGTTGAACCAAGCTGCGAGCTGCGTCCCTGCCACATGCCGCATGACTCAAATTACGCTTCCTTTTTGGTGGGCGCAACGTGGCTTCAGCTTAAAATTATTATGAAGCTCCCCTTGCCATAGCGTTGGCTGCTTCCGCTGAGAGAGATAAAAGGAGAGAGAGAGAGAGAGAGATTCTCCCTCTCTCTTACACTCAGAAAAAATGTTTATCAAGTGAAGTTAAGTGGATATATTTTAAATACAGTGCTTAATACATTTGTTAGACTTTATGTACGCGAACTCTTGTACTAAGTACTTCTAAAGTGAATTCTTTCTATTTTGATTCATGCTTCATTTAACTATATTCAAAAAGTAAATGTTCGAACTCGATACCCGATCATATTTCAACTGTTTCTCCGAGTGTCGCTTGCAACCACGACCACGACAATAGTGCAACAGACGCCGCCGCAGAAGGACACAGCTGCAAATATCGCCAATGTCAATGTGCGATTCGCAGCCAGACGCTGCCTGAGTCGCACGTTGGGCATACAAAGCAGCGGCAGCGTCATATGGTGGCACGAAAAACGGAAAGTGCTTGTTGTAATAATTTTATTGAGAAATCCAGAGACACAGACGCCAAAAGGAAGCGGCTTAAGCAGCCAGCAAACCGGCAGAAGACGGGCCCAAGGAATGCGACGCCTGGCGCATAACAATGCGTTCTGGCCCCAATGTATTGCTGCCAGCTGCACAGTGGGACAGTTGCCACTGCTACAAATTGGCCGACTCTCTCGCTTTGCCCAGCGGCTGCTAACTTGGTCAACAAAGTTGCCAGCAAGATCCAACCAACACAGTTAGCCAATATCTAAGAAAAGAAGAGCAGAGCAGAGAGCTCTTCTATCATACACAACAACGTCTGTGCGAACATGTTTGCGGTGCGCTCTTATACGTTGCAACAGCGAACAGCTGTTCGAACCAGCGAACTTGTTGCGTATAAGAGAATTGGAATTTAGCAGAGTGCCGAGCACACAAGTTGCGTAGAAGAGCGCGTCAGTTCGTTTGGCGGTTTGATGGTATTTCATGATCGCACTTAATTGAGATGCAATTGCCGTGCAGGGATTTTATAACTGTTAATAACAAATAGTACTGTTATTTATTGCATGAAAGGGATATTTTTAAAGTACTCAAACAATGCGTTGCAATTCGCAACAAGTTAAAGCTTTAAAGGAATTGCAAGCTATTTACAAAACTGAATAAGCTGAGAAAGTGTACGGATTATTTATTAAATCAATAAGCCGCATATTGACCTTGAGGCAGCCAGCCCAATATTGGCATTACAGTTTCGAACAAATCTTTTATATTTATTGACTTAACCTTTTAACTCGTGGCTGCGTCTGTAACCTCAGCTCTTCTCTCTCTATCCCTATTTCTCTTTCTCTCCAGTAGCCTTATACGACCTGCCTCTGGCATTGTGCACATTAATTCAATGTAAACCATTCAAAATGAAATCCATTAGAGTTTATATTTCAGTCATAAAACATCTGAAACCAAACACACGCACATAGCCAAAGCCCTAGGCTCAATTTAAAACCAGCACAGCACACACGCACGCACACACTCCCACGCGCACACACACACACACATACACACACACACACACACACCCGCACATAAAATGGCATCTCACACTTGGCCAATGCCATTTGGGCCCGGCTTATCCGAAAATATTTGCATAAGATTCAAACTGCATGCAAGAAACGTTGCCACAGCCACGCCCCGCTACTGCTGCCTCTCCGTCCCCATTTTGGCAAAATGTTGCAAAATGTCCCAATACCTCACCTTCTCCCTTCCTCTTCTCGCTGCCACGCTTCTCGCTTGTTGGCCAGTCAAAGTTTACTGCCAAGTTTTGCAAGTGGAGTTCATATTTAAGTTGAGTCTTCCCACTGCTCAGCTGCTGCGCCCCCCCCTCCCCCCGCCCCCCCCTCCCCCCCTACCCGACGGCAAACCCTTTGCCTAATTGTATGAAAATAGTTGGTCCTTTGCTTTTGCTCAAATGCCAAATGTGAATTTAAGCCTGCCACACAGTGGGGCATCCAGCGAATTCGGGGGCATGGCCCGAGACCTTGCAACTACCTGAACGCTGCCAGTTGGAGTCCAAGGTGTCGGCAAGTGCAGCCAAGCGTTCCCACTGAGAAATGTGTGTGTGTGTGTGTGTGTGTGTGTGTGTTTAAATGTATTTGAAATATTGTGACAGCAGCGGTTGAGACGTAACTACTTGCCACAAGCTGCATGCTCCACTGACGCCTGCCTTAAGCTCCAGCTGGGAGCATTTTTTATTTCAATTGAGCTCTCGCCCAGCTCTGGTCAAATGGCCGCACTATGCTGGCTGCTGGCCAGTGGGCGTGGCTGTTGCAAGATCAACGCAATGGCGGCAGCTGACCAAACGCTCGCCTTGGGTCAAGTTACGAAACCCGTTTTCGTCTGTGCCTCACTGTGATTGGAAGCGGCAACAGCAACCAGCTACCAGCTAGCTGCTAGCTGCTACCTGCTGTGGCAGCAACAGTCGCCGTCTCCGGGATCTCGGCAAAGTCCTTGCCGCGGCGGTCATTAAGTCACAACCGCAGAACCATTAATAAGGGTTCAGAGCTGACTATTGCGATCCTAATGGTTAACACGACAGCGCTAATGAGCCGCAACTGCAAAGGTTGCCAGCTAGTGCTCCAGACCCTGCCGCTGCCCCAGTCCCAGCTACTGTCGCTGCCCCTGGCTGATTAATTTGTGGGAAAGTCTGCGGTGGGAAGGGTCAGTGCCACACATGCTCACATATAGTAGTTGATTGTTTTGTGTTCTTTTGCTGCGCTTAGCTGGCCAGACACAGAGACAGCTGGCTATTCATTATGCTTATCCCACCCCGCACCTACAGCCGCCTCCACACCCACCCTACGCAACCTGCAACCGCCACAGCCTGTGGCATGCCAATCGCTGCTAAGCGGCTTATGAAAGTTGGCTGTCGTTCAGTTCGCACCTTCTGTTTTAGTTCTCTCAGCCCGACTGGGCTGGGCGCATAAAGTTGCTGATTTTATACGATTTTCCAATAAAATAAAACATTTCTTTTCTATTTTCAATTTAACGAAATGCACCTGCAACGGCATCGCAGCCAAAGTCAAATCGGGCGGCACTTCAAAGAGAGCGCGAGAGCCGAGAGTTCACTTTACAAAACATACTTAACGTAATCTGCGCCGACTTATGGATAATATTGTACTGCAAAGAATATGAGCAACAACAACAACAACAAGAGACACTTGTCGAGAGACAAGGAAAACAACAACAACAACAGGAACAACAAGCAGAGAGAGGATCTTATGCTAATGGCGCGTACCAAAATAAAAACTCGAGTCGAGGAAAATGCAAAGCGGAAAAAAAACAGGCGGCAGGCAATTCATAAAAATTTACATACATTACGCCGAGTGTTAGAGGGTTCAAGCGCGGGATCGCGGGTTCGAGGATCCCCAATAAAAATTAGAGTGCTGCAAGCCGATTCGAAAGTGGAAGTGGAAGTGGAACCAACCCCCAAAAAGAGAGAGACAATACTCTTGTTTTCATAAATTTGGCCATAGATCAGATCATAGATCAACAGTTGCTTGTGGCCGGAGGGGCGTGGCACGTGTTGAGATCATAAATCATGGCCGCATAATTGACGCGAATGCAACTGCACGAGACACCCTCCAGTTGCAGCACTATATAAGTATATATGCAAATGATGTATTATGAAAATGGAATATGGAAACTGGAAGTGCCATAATTGCGCCCATTTTTGGACCCCCCGATAAGGTGCCTCGATTATGAGAACTTCTAGGAGCTGAGAGCGTAGGCAACACCAACTAGTTACTGCAAGTAGGCATGCGGCATAAATCATTGGAGACATTTAAATAGCGTCTAAATACATACCTACATCATACCATACATCAAAAATGATTGAGAGTGCGTGCTGTCAATGGAATGATTGTAGTTTCTGGCCTAAGATTGCGTTCAACTCAAATAATTGAAATTAACAGGATGCTGGCATATATTGTGGAAATGGAATATGTAGAAAAAGAACTCTTGAGAAGCCCTGAGTTGAGCGTTTCTCGTGTTTGCTTGCGTGACACGAACACACACGACTCCTTACGACTTTTAATTGATAAAGTGAATTTATAATTTAGTATAAACTAATTGCAAAATAGGGACGTGCGCACTCGTGTCACGACACGCGCCCACCTCTAGAAGAGATTGCATGATTAAAAAAGTACCTAGACCCGATATTGGGTTGGAATATTATCAAAAAGAATAAAAACTAAATAGGTAAGTTCTTTACATATATATATATATTTATTTACTTGAATATTTTCTTAATATTTATAATATAAACAATTACAATTGTCATAGCTAATATATCCATACTTGCAACTAGCCTGAATCTCATTTGGATCTAAAAATATTTGCGCCTGGCTGCATCCAATTTGTCCTGTAATTAATTCAACACGCCGTCAAACATGCCCTCAGCTGTAGTTTTTGATGAACATGCCATAAACAAATGTATTTAAGTACCAAAAATGATGAGGTTCTAAAAAGCATTTTCCGCTTTTCACTTTTCATTCATGACCTGCATGGTGCAGGCGCAGATCTTTGCTTGTGTGTGTCCGTGTGTGTGTGTGTGTGTGTGTGTGTACAGGTGTGTGTATGTGTGTCTGAGCAATTTATTACCTGCCATTTACCGTTGCTCATTATTAATTGCAAGCAATTAATCAGCTTTGCTTGCGTTCAACGGGCCGTATACGCATTGTGCGCGCCCACACTCGCCCCCTCCCCGCCCCCCTCTCTGATCCCACGCAGCACGCAGTCGCAGGCGAGCCACAGAAATCTTGAATGAATTCAATTGCAAATTTGTAAATAAACATTGGAAAATTTGGCTCTACGCTCTAACGCAGCCAATTTGAGTGTGAAATCGGAAATGTTTTTCCCCCTCAACAGTTTCCTGTCGAAATGTGTCGCTGCTGCAAAGGGGAGGGAGGTGTGGGGAGGGATGCGAACTTCCTGCTGCACTAGTTCGTTTGGGCTGTTGTCCTGTCAGCAGAGCTTGCCTTCTGCCGCAGGACATGCCAATAAAACGCATCGCCAGTTGCAGTTGCCCGTGTCCTGCAAATATCTCATGTTATTTTCTTATTACGAAAAGTACACACACACACATATATATATATATAGATATATATATAAATCCTATTTCAAGTTTGACATGTTCTGCCCCCAACTTCTCTTCTAACATTCTTCGTTTGTCTTTTGCTCAATAAAACTTTTTGATTTTTGCTCGAATGGGCGAAACTTTTTAATGCGGATCTGCAGTCGCAGTCGCAGCTAAAAATAAAAAAAAAAAACGAAAAAGCGAAAAAACGATAAAAAGCAAGACAACAAAATCAAATCAAATTAAATTGAATCAAATCGCATCGCATCGAATCGAATCAAGCCAAGGCAGGCAAAGCAGAGCAAAGAATCCAAATAAATGAAAACTTAAATGTCGAATTGTGCGAGAGCAACACCTGCCATCCCATCGAGTACCCCTACCCCGAGTAGGGTTCACACTGCCACGCCCAGACACGCAAATAACACTTTAATTCAATTGGATTAGTTGTCCCTTGCAATGCACACGCGACCCACAACAACAACAACAACAACAGGCCAGGGCGGGTGTGGAAAATCGTATCCAGGGACAGAAAGTGAATAGTAAGCTTGCGGCATCCATTCACAGACGGGATATTAGGTGTTTGCATATCGTGGGGCTTCCGCGGCGGCATTTAACTCAATACTATATTAATGCAACCTCCAGCGTAGCTGCCACGCCCATACGCCCAAACACACACACACACACAGCTCGGTTTCTTTGTGCAGTTATTCAAAAACAACAACAAAACAGAGCCGCGAATGTCGATGAATGAGCCAAATGAATGAATGAGTGCAGGAATGAGTGCATTGAATGGGCGAGCAAATAAACGCAAGACATGCAAATGTGCAAAAATGATGCATTAGCGTAATTAACTGGCCGAAAGAATGTCCAGTCCTGAGTGTATGCCAACCTGCCTGGGGAGGCAGGACGAGAAATTCGCTGTTTTTCTGCGCATTTCACAGCTAATTCGCATTGTTTGGAAGGTTCTTGTTGGTTGAAAAGATATCGAAAAAAACAATGTTGTGAATTCAATTTGTGAAGGTGAAACGTGAAAAACTGCTTCTCGTAGAATCCCAAAACTTTTGATTTAAGATTTGCAAAATGTGATGTAGCCCCTCAATTTATGATCAAACGAAAGTATTATTCTGCACGAATTCCATACGAATTCAAACAGACATTGATTTTTATATTCTTCGAATGCCAATTGATAGTTGGGATCCGCACGAATTCGAAAATGTATAATATTTCAAAATCAGACAGTATTTACCCGAGATATTCAAAAAAAAAGTCATCAAAAATGTTTTGATTTTCGAACCGACCCCGATTTTGAGAAAAAACGTGATATAACCCCTTGCTTTTTGGTCGATTTGGGTCAAAATTTAGATTTTCATTACTTGAACTTCCCTTTTTGGCCCCTATCTGGCTTTATTTGGCCGAGATATGAGCATTTAAAGTTTTCGGGGTAGTTATGTCGTTTTGAAGCGACATAACTCCGTCGATCTAAACTAATCATGGAGGTATGACGTTTCAAAGCGACATAACTTCGCCGTCGATCTTGGCGTATTCTAAGGACCTTCCCGACTAGCCCCTCCATTTTTGGCCCCTATCGGGCTTTATTTGGCCGAGATATGACCATTTAAAGTTTTCGGGGTAGTTATGTCGTTTTGAAGCGACATAACTCCGCCGACGTTTCAAAGCGACATAACTTCGCCGTCGATCTTGGCGGATTCTACGGACCTCCCCGACTAGCCCCTCCCTTTTTGGCCCCTATCGGGCTTTATTTGGCCGAGATATAGCCATTTAAAGTTTTTGGGGTAGTTATGTCGTTTTGAAGCGACATAACTCCGCCGATCTAAAAAAATCATGGAGATATGACGTTTCAAAGCGACATAACTTCGCCGTCGATCTTAGCGGATTCTACGGACCTCCCCGACTAGCCCCTCCCTGTTTGGCCCCTATCGGGCTTTATTTGGCCGAGATATAGCCTTTTAAAGTTTATGGGGTAGTTATGTCGTTTTGAAGCGACATAACTCCGCCGATCTAAAAAAATCATGGAGATATGACGTTTCAAAGCGACATAACTTCGCCGTCGATCTTGGCGTATTCTAAGGACCTTCCCGACTAGCCCCTCCCTTGTTGGCCCCTATCGGGCTTTATTTGGCCGAGATATGACCATTTAAAGTTTTCGGGGTAGTTATGTCGTTTTGAAGCGACATTATGTCGTTTTGAAACGACATAACTCCGCCGATCTAAAAAAATCATGGAGATATGACGTTTCAAAGCGACATAACTTCGCCGTCGGTCTTGGCAGATTCTACGGATCTCCCCGACTAGCCCCTCCCTTTTTGGCCCCTATCGGGCTTTATTTGGCCGAAATATGACCATTTAAAGTTTTCGGAGTAGTTATGTCGTTTTGAAGCGACATAACTCCGCCGATCTAAAAAAATCATGGAGATATGACGTTTCAAAGCGACATAACTTCGCCGTCGATCTTGGCAGATTCTACGGACCTCCCCGACTAGCCCCTCCCTGTTTGGCCCCTATCGGGCTTTATTTGGCCGAGATATAGCCATTTAAAGTTTTCGGGGTAGTTATGTCGTTTTGAAGCGACATAACTCCGCCGATCTAAAAAAATCATGGAGATATGACGTTTCAAAGCGACATAACTTCGCCGTCGATCTTGGCGTATTCTAAGGACCTTCCCGACTAGCCCCTCCTTTTTTGGCCCCTATCGGGCTTTATTTGGCCGAGATATAGCCATTTAAAGTTTTCGGGGTAGTTATGTCGTTTTGAAGCGACATTATGTCGTTTTGAAACGACATAACTCCGCCGATCTAAAAAAGCGACATAACTTCGCCGTCGATCTTGGCAGATTCTACGGACCTCCCCGACTAGCCCCTCCCTTTTTGGCCCCTATCGGGCTTTATTTGGCCGATATATGACCATTTAAAGTTTTCGGGGTAGTTATGTCGTTGTGAAGCGACATAACTCCGCCGATCTAAAAAAAATCATGGAGATATGACGTTTCAAAGCGACATAACTTCGCCGTCGATCTTGGCGTACTCTAAGGACCTTCCCGACTAGCCCCTCCCTTTTTGGCCCCTATCGGGCTTTATTTGGCCGAGATATGACCATTTAAAGTTTTCGGGGTAGTTATGTCATATATGTATAAATCAACAATTTATAGAATTTCGTCTATGTCAAAGACTCAGGAATCTTTAAAGGTACGTGTTTCCAAGGTCGGACGTAATGAAAACGATGTATTTAAGTTCTTTTTTTCCAGCCTAATCTTCCACGCCAATGGACAACATTTGCTCAGGAAATGATCGCTATTCATGGTACCTAGTTGACCTATATATCCTTGGTTGTTCCATATCATGGATGTAGTCCTAGCGAACCTAAAGGACTAAATTGTTGCAAAGTGCGTAGGAACAGGGTCCAAAAATATGTATGCTTTTCTTTTACAGGCGCCCCTAGGATCATCCCCGCCCCCTGAATGGTTTCTAGTTGACTAGCATATCCTTGGTTATACCATACCATTGATATAGTCCTTGGGAACCTAAAGGATCAGATCCTTGCAAAATGTGCATTGAAATGGTCCAAAAACATGTATGCTTTTTCTTCCAGGTGCTCTTTTACATTAGCTGCAGCAGCAGCTTTTTTTAACAGGCGTCTTACAGCGCTCATTTTACATAAACTGCTAATTAACAGTACTCATTTTAATTGAGTTACATTTTTGCCCCGTAATGCTATGCAATGAAAATTTTTATTCAAACCACTCGGCGACCTTCTGGGCATTTCTGTTCGCCTGGTATTTGAGCGGAATTTTAGGGCAAATTTGGGACCAGCCGGCCGTTAGGGCGCCCCGTGAGGGTATGCATTGATTTTTTTCGGCCGCAAAAATATTGTGCATCGACCTTCTGGGCATTTCTGTTCGCCTGGTATTTTTCGGAAATTTTAGCTAAAATTTGGGACCAGCCGGCCGTTAGGGCGCCCCTTTTGGGTATGCAATGCAATTTTTTCGCCAGCCAAAAATATTTTTTGTCGACCTTCTGGGCATTTCTGTTCGCCTGGTATTTTGGCTCCGCGCGGAGTTATGTCGTTTTAGAACGTCGTATCTCCCCGCGGAGTTTTGTCGTTTTAG